GCCGCAGGTCGGATTCAAACCCATCTTTGGTGATTAATAGAATCATACCATAACATATAATTTTTAAATACACGAGTTCTTGGGTCTAAATAAATAAATAGACTGGTTCTATGTGAAAACTATCCTGAGATAACATCTGTTATGATTTGGTGCTATAAAAACTGAACTGAATTGGAAAAAAGCAAGACCACTGATAAACCAGAAATAAAAAGTTTATTGTAGGAAAAGAAAATAGCACTCTACAGTTACAGTTACAGCCCTCTCCCAGCATCAGCAATAACATCTCCAATACAAAGTAATACTCATCATCTGACCTTCTGTTATTTCTTCACATTCATTGGATCAAATTACATCTAAGATCCTGGGAGAGTTTAATCTTACAGCAGTGACTTGGAGAAAGAAGGCTACAACACTGTTTTTTTTTTTTTCAGTTTGATATGTTTTCACTCCTCGGCTACTCCATTAGCAGTGACATTATCTGCCACTCCATTGACTGCTGTGTCTTTATTTCCATTGACTACGGCAGATTTTGAAACAACATCTGCCCAGGTTCCTTTACTCTTCAGGACTGATGGGCTAACTTTGATGTCAAATGCTTCATTTATTTCACCATTAACCTTATCTGACCCTGACTTCCTCTCATCTGCTTTTGCATCAGATTTTAGCTCCCCATTGGCTGTGCTAGTCTCGGTTTTCTCTCCTGTAGCCCTGACCTCTGACTCCCCATTCACTATCTTGACCTCAGCATCTGAAGCTGCCGTGTCACTGTCCTCACTGTCTGTTTTCTCCTCGTGCTGGTTCTGTTTGGCTGGCTCCACCACATGACCGTTAGCTGAAACTATGGCGGCACCCTCCACCAAGGTCTCTTCCACTGGCTGCTCCTGTGTGTCCTTGCTGGTATTCTCCACTGCAGGGCTTCCTCCGGCCTCAGCTTCCTTCCCGCATCCTGTTTCTAGATCTGAGCTTTTCTCGCCCCCGTTCACAGTCTCTGAGACGACATGCTCGTTGGATAGATTGAATCCCAGTTCTTTTGCCACAGCTGCCTTTAGTTCCATGTGTTTCTTCTTGTACTCCTGAAACCTGTCACTGTGAAAACAATGAATGAATGAGACTCTTTAGACTTAACAAAATACGTCCATGCTGATGGATCTAGTTGTGTTTTAAATGGTGATTTGATAGTTATTTTAATTTGCAAGTACATGAATGTCATTTTAATTATCTAAAACCTAGAGTTTCCAGTTAATTTTATTATGTATTATCCAATAATAATTGGTGAATGTTCACATTGATTAAAAATGTATTTAATTTTTTTTAAGCTGCAGGGAAAAGTTTGAAAGTTCTTCTTTGTGTTCATTATTTGCTTTTTTAATGAAATAAATAAAAAGTATCAAAAGTAAAAGTTACCCATAATGAAGAATAGCCCCTTTTAGAGTGGTATAAAATCATCTACTATCATTTATGAAAATTTGTAGTACTTTTAGAGCTAGTCTGATAAATATCGGCTAATCACAGATATAGAAGTAAAAACATGGCAAAACATGTTCGAAACAGTATCACTATTGCAAATCTACAGCAAGGGTTTGTCCATTCTGGGCTACTGTAGAAACATGGGCGGTACATCCATGGAAGGTGACCTGCGGCATTTATGGATAAAACTGGCTCATTCTAAGGTAACACGATTTCTGCCAATAGAGTGTCCTGAATCTTACACACTGGACCTTTTAAAATAAAGAAAGTTGATCAGTTGTTATCAAGAATATTTGTTTATGTTATGTGTTGTTAAAAAAATTAAAAAAAATACATTGATATTGGACTTTTAAAGTTTTTGATATCGTGTCAGCTTCAAAAATCCAATATCAGTCAAGCTACATTTCAGCATCAACACCGTGCTTCAACTTCAACTAGTTTTATCATATCGTATTGTATCATATTGTATATTACTGTGTATATTTACCTTTTTGTAATCCTCCTGATCCCTGTCACCAGAACCATTTGCTCCAGCAAAGTGTCAGTTGTGGGAGTTAGACACTGAGGACGGGAGGGAACAGAGAGAGATTAATAAACACACATTTCCCTTTTCTTTGTTTCAAAGAGGTTAATGGTATCAGACCCCACACAGGCTCCTGGGGATACAGTACCTCCACTGTTTGCTCCGTGCAGTCAGCTCCTGCCTGTCTGAGAGAGCGTTCCACCTTCACCGCTTGCTTGGTTATGGTGCACAGAAACTCTTTGCTGTAGCGTGTCTGAGAGTGATCCTCTCCAAACTGAGAAAATAGTGATGATGATGATGATGACGTGCACACACAACCAATCCATTTATCTCTTGCTCTCTCTCTCTCTAGCAGATATACTGACCAAGGAGGTAAAAGCAGTGAGGGCCTCTTTCTCGTGGGTCATAGCACTTCGGTAGTCACCCTTGCTACACATCCACTGGGCCAACAGGTGGTGACTGCGCAAATAATAAACCAGAGAAAGAAAAGGTGATGATGTTGGAAAAGGGGACAAATTAGATCAAAGTAAACTTTATACATTTCGATAAAGTGGCTGCAAGGTGGAAATAACATCTTACTTAAATGCAGTGTACACATTTGTGGGGCCGAAGAAGGAAGTGTTGAGTCTAAGGGCGTTCTTTAAGTACTGCCCTGCCTGATCTCCTGTGATCACCAACCCAAGACAGCTCTGCCAGAAAGAAAAGTCAAAAAGTAAATATTTTTTATAATGATACTGTGAAAAGCCTTGTTTTGTGCTTGGGTTTAACACCAAGGTGTTGTAACCTACATCCAGTGTTGCGATGTAGGGATGGTCCTCTCCGTGGATGGTTAATGCTAGCAGACGAGCTCTGAGGAGACACTTCTGGGCCAGGGCAGTCTCCCCTCCAGCAAACACATACACACCCAAGAGGGCCTACATACAACAAACAAAATTATTACAATCACCCGCTACACACACGACCCAGTGCATACAAAGTAAGTAGTTATGGAGCCAAGGGTTTTGATTTTTTTAGTAGAACATCAAAGAGAATTGTGTAGCTATACTCACATATTGCTGGATAGTGTTTGGATGGTCAAAGCCGAGCACTCTCTCACTGATGACCACTGCTTTCAGCTGCACACTACGAGCCTTAAGAGCAGAGAAAGACACAGTGATGACAATGGCCAGCTTCATGTATAAAAGTAGTATAAAGTAGAATGATGGACGCATAACCATCTCAGAAAATATCACAGTATACGGTATTACACAATTATTATTATCGGTTACAATGACCAATAGAAGAATAAAAACAAAATGTTGTTTGAATAAATACTTTTTTACTAAATATTATGTCCTTTATATATTTTTTAGTAATTAATACAGTAGAATTCATTTTTAAACATTAACATGGTAGAATTCAATACCAAACAAATGTACATGGTATAAATAACCTTAAGTCTTTCTCATACCACGATATACCACTGTAACTACAAGTCCTTTAGACTAGTTACTTAGAGGTAGCAATAGCACTACTTAAACATACCCCACAACCACTAAAGGTCCAGTACTCAACATCACACTTAAGTAAAAGTTCAGAAGTATTATCAGAAACATGTAATTACAGTATGAAAGGTAAATATGAAGCCCCTTTCAATATGTTATGATATTTTATAAGCTAATTGCATTTAAAATCTTCTGCAACTTCTGACTAAGCTGTCAGATATGTAGCAGAGTAAAAAACTACATTTCTCTCTCAAATGTATTGTTATAATTATTAGTACAAGTACCTCAAAACGTACTTACATACAGTACTTCACAGAAATGCATGTGCTTACTTTCTACCAACACAAACTGTATTAATGTAGCTGTAAAAAGTTGTGAGGCAGTTAGCATACCTCAGCTGCCTTCCCCTGCATGAAAGCCACCTTGGCCAACATGCTGTGGCAGTAACAGGCCTCAGGGTGTAGGTCATCACACACTCGACCAAACAGGTAGGATGCTTCTTTCAGGTGCTCATGGGCCTGATCCAGCAGGCCTGTAGTTGGGAAACGCACAGTTTAGACTTTGTTCAAAAACACACTGAACATGAACATACCAGATACATGAATCTGCAGCTTCTGTTAAGTGCCCAGCTTTATTGACCCACCTTTCTGAATGGAGGTCTGTCCAGCACGGTGTGCTGTAGAAGCATCCACAGTTGGCATGTGAACGTGCTTGACGATGGGGAAGATGTTGAGGACGTCGTCTGGACCAATGGGAGCTTTATTTTGGTTGTCGAGGAAGTAGTCTCTCAGTCTCAACTGGTGTAGACAGAACAAACAGCATCTCTTTTCAAGATTTTATCTGGCAGATAATTTTGCAATTACAACTTAGTGTTAAAATACTACTAATATATATGTTTTTAAATTGCTCTTGTGTCTAATAACATACTGAATTTGTATATATTTCACATGTCTGTTACCTGCACTCCAGTCTTCAAACAGAACTCTCTAAGCAAAGAGAGCTTCTGAAGGCCATAGCGCTCCACCAGGTGGTTCGGACCGGAGCTGGAGCAGTGAAAAATTATAGTTATTATAAGTTGGAGCTATTGCAGAACAAACAAACAGGAGGTGAGAACAAACAATAGATCTGTCCTCACCCAAGGACGTCAGAGATGTTATATGTTTCAACAGCATCCTGGCAGACCAGGTTCCACAGCTCAGCCCCTGTGAGCGTGCTCCAGGGCGTGCTTTCAGAGGCCCCTGCCCCTCTGCCACGCCGCCTTGACTTCTTTTTAGTGTCCTCTCCCACAGGCGCGGGAGTGAAGTGGGGAACCAAAAGGCAGCAGAGGAAGTGACTGACAGCTGCAGAGAGACTAGGCACGTCCACA